AAAAAGTGCTTTTGTTACTTATTGTTAGATGCGTTAGATTAGTATAGAAAAATTAATTTTATTTTCATAAAAGAAAAAGATTTTTATTTTTTATTTTTATCGTTTTTTCAAGAAATTTATTAAATTTCATTTTCTTTTTATTTCATTTTCTTTTCACCTTTTGCTCTTCCTTTGCATCAGAGGATTTTGAGCGATAACTTCTTAAGGAAGAATTTTTCGACCCATGTTTATAGGAAATTTTTTGTTCAGAATTAAATTTCCTATAAGATCTCAAAGTCTGGTTGGAACGTTCGGGGCCACCCTGTATACATATATAGAGAGATATTTCAAAAATAAATAAGATAAACTATTATATTAAAAAAAACAGTTTTGTAGCAATGAAAGAAATGGATGAGATAAATTTATCTGCTAGTAGAAGGGAAAAGAATCTATTGTATAGAGTTCGAAATATTTCAGTCTGACAATGTATTAAACAATTGCTGTTCCCTGAACGCTATATATCTTCCCTCTTATATAAATTTATTTCATTACTGTCATGATTGAAAAAAAAAATTTTCATTTAAAATCTTCTAAAGAAAAAGAAATAAATATGATCCTATTAACTTCGTCGAATAATTAAATTCAATGGAAATTTATCTGATAATAAATAAAACATGGTAGAACTTTTTTTTTTATATTTTAGATGTTAAAAACTATTTTCGATAGAAAGATCGCAAAATACAGGAATTGAGAGTCATGTAATCATCATGCCAACAGTCATCAACGGAAACACAAAAAGGAAAAAATAAAAAAAAGCCTTTAATCTTATCAAAAAAGTTTGGACAATTACACAAGACGCAAGATAAACCTAATAAGAAATTAAATTAAATGATTACATAATAGACATTTTATCTACATACTTAATTAATAGACATTTAATAGACGTTTTTCCGATCTGTATTTCCCCCAAAAATAATTATGGAGTCTAAGCAAATTATAGAGTCTAAGCAAACTTTGATAATTACTACGCTTGAAATTTTCTCGTTTCTCTTTCCTTTTTTACTACAAAAATAAACCAAGTGTGTTTCTCAAAAGATATAAGATCTGCAAAAATCATTATTTTAGCAGATTATGCAGTTTTATATTTTAAGGACGGACAATGACTTTGTAAATACTATACAAAAATGTTTTTGCGTTCAGAAAGCTTTCAGTTAAATAAGCTTTAACGATATAATCAAAGCATTTTCACCTTCAATCAGTCTTAATAACAATATAAGAGAGATTTGATTCTAACGCTTAGTTATCAAGTTATATAAACATGCAATTAATTGTATTATACTTATATAATAAAAAATATGATGATGAAGAAGCGGAGAGGTTGTAATTTAAATAGACATCATTAATATACAATTTAAAAAACGCAAGTTGTATTTAAAAAAAAACAGAGCCGTAAAATGTGAAATAATAGCACATTGCATAATGTGCTATTATACATTATTGCATGCATTATGATGCATGCACTGTAAATATTTTTTGACATATACTTGCACTTTTTTATTCTTTTTTAGAAACATTAATTGTAACTACAAAATTACTATTACTTTGTATTACTTTGTAATCTATTTGCACTACAAATTGTGAATTATGCACAATTCCGCAATTTACACGTATTTGTTTTCATAGTGATAAGAAAAATGATTAATTGATTACAGAATTTTAAATATCTTGATAAGATAAAAATATATGAAAACGTGATAAACAAACCTGCGCATGCGTGTTGAAGGTGAATGTTAGCCTTAACTATCTTATGAAAGGAGAGTCAGTCTGTTTTAAATTACAGTTTCTTCAGGCCTTCAGTACGAATCAAGCTGTCGTTGAAACTTGAAGAATTCATCGGTAAGCTGTTTCCTAAAAATTTCTAATTAGATATAATTACAATTATAATTTCATACATTATAATTATAGTTTAACAGAATTAGAGAGACAGAAAAAACGTTACTATTCGTATGTATAATATAAAGAAAAATAATTATATTAAATAAAAAAATAAATATAAAAGAGAAAACGGGAAAAATCTTCTAGAATGTCAACGCGCGTGCACGATCAAAGTAAATAATTAGTAGTTTAAAAAGAAAGAAAGATATTTTATATAAAACAATAGAGAAAGAAAGAGAAGAAAGGGGAAGACAGGAAGGGAGAAAAAGATATAAACAAAATCTTTTTTAAATTGTGAGTAATTAATTTTTTTTAAATATGGTATATATATAATATAAATAAATTTTTACTTTGTATAACATTGAAAAATACATTTCTAAAGATACGTTTCTATAATAAGAAAAACACTTGTTATCTAGCATATGTAATAGCATTCTATTATATAAGCTAGTTAGATTAAAGTACAACATTTTCAAGACCGGTATTATTACGCATATTTCAATACGTATAAAATTATGCTTCCTATGTTGATAGACAGAGGAAAGTATTTACTTATAAAATATCTTTATGTTAATTGAAGATGATATAAATTTAAATTCCTTTAACAAATTAAAAAATATATACTACATTTTTCAGATTTATTGATTTAAATAAAATATCTATTTTTTATACACACTTTGATGGTTCTAAAAAATATTGCATTTAAAGCCTCGGAAAAAGTAAGAGCTGCATCGTGTACTAAAAAATATAAATAGAATAAATATTTAAGTATTTATAGTTTTAAATACTTTAAATGTATTACACGTATGGGCAGAATAACATAAAAGTAATAAATAAAATATTATCATATATTCAGTAAAATAATAAAATAAATAAACCGTAAAATAATTTATAATAATTATCTAAATAATGTTTTTTCTATATAATTTATCCTCATATTTCAAATGTTCAATAGTCACTTTGCACAATACAATAACTCTTGACTTAATTTTCAAAGTTCATATGCATAGTCACGTATAAGTATATTAGTTTCACGATGCTATCCCGTGACACTTCGAAAACAGAATAAATTGTGTTTTCAAAATAACAAGGTCAAATGATCAATATATGTACATA